ATAGGTGTAATTATAAGTAAAATTTTAGCCATTCCTCGCTTTCTTCGCTTTCGTCGTCGCGAAGATCTGCTCTGTTAGCTGCCGGATCCATCTCACACGTCGATCGCATAGCCATTGAACTTTTCGACACCGAAAAGACCTACGTGGAAGATCTATACACAGTGATCCAGGTATGTACTTAGAGTTTTTATATAAAAAAGAATTGAGCAGCTTCCAAGACCTATGAAGGTTATAGAGTATCACAATCCTTTTATAAAAAATTCGCAAACGTAGCACAAGGAAAAAGCACTTTATCTAGAAAATTATAAGGTATAACACACACACAGGGAAATCGTTTCAAAAGTTTGCGGACGTTCAAATTGAACTTAGTTAAATATATTGCTCTCTGTAAAATATCTAATTTGAGCGTTCACCAAAGTTTTCCTTTATACCCTGAGCGTTACCGTAAGATTACTGTAATGTGAAAGTGCAAGAGTTTTAATCAAGTAGCAAGCGAATTTTTAGGGCTATCTAAACTTTCTCGTTGACCATCGCGATGAATTGGGAGTGACATTGGACAACATATCGTCGCTATTCGGTTGTATTGAGCGAATTTATGCGTTCAACCGTAAACTACTCCAGCAGCTGGATTTGGCCGACTTGGATTGTGTCAAGGTGAGCGATTCTTTTAGATTTCTAGAAGTAATACGCCTATTGTCTCTCGATCGACCGTAAAGGACTGGTTTTCGTGTGTATAGCAGCATAAGCAATGAAAATTTTCAGATGAGCCGCTGTTTTGTGGATAGTGCGGGAAAATTCGAGGATTATATCGTATATTGTACCAACTACCACCGGTATTTTTATATTTAAATTATAAAGAGGATTTTTTAAAATGAAAATGGATATTTAGGATGATCGCAACCCTCACACAATTACAGCAGCAACCACACTTAGCTGCTGCCTTATCGCAGCGTCAAGCTGCACTCGGCCACGCTCTTCCATTGAGCGCATATCTTCTCAAACCTGTTCAAAGAGTGCTAAAATACCATTTATTCATTGAGGTATAGTCTAATTTCATAAAAGCAAGAGCAAAACCCCTTTTTTAGAAAACGCATAAAATTTTGCTGTATCGCAACCTTCCCAGCCCTCTTCTTCATGTTTAATTTGCTTTACACTTCAACTTCAGAACATGCTGAAACATCTACCCAGCACGTTGCCACCTGAGGACTTCGCCATCGTAAAACGTGCTCATGAGGTGATGACATCGCAAGCATCTCGTATTAATGATGAAAAGAAGCGTGCCGAACATGCAGAACGAGTTGAGCAACTACA